ATAACCAGCATCACTATTTCAGTTGATCACTTTCCCGTTTGTTGACATTCAGTAATAACCGTTGTCTCTCCTCTTGTCCTCTTGCAGGTTAACTGTGAGACAGACTTTGTTGCTCGTAATGAGAAGTTCCAACAGCTGGTCAAGGATGTGGCGTTTGCTACTCTGGCTCACCACCAGAATAGAACCCAAAGCCAGAAAGGATATATGAAGGTAAAACCACAGACTGACGTCAGGAGTTATACTACAACAACGTTTCTGTTCACTGTAGAGCTGCAAGCTGCAAGTTCCCATTATATTGTTTAATGTAATTTTCTCTAAATATGTGAAAAGGCACATTAAGTGTGCGGCTACACTGATCTGACTTTACATGCCAGTACAGCCAACTCAATGTAGAAAGCCTTTTAAACAAGAGTAGTAAACAGTGGGGAAAACACTGGTGTAAATGATCAGTTTAACGATTCCTGATTTCCATTTAACTGCTTCAGCTTCACGGTCCTGGTATAATGCATGTTGACTCTTAATCACACTGTCATAGCTTAGAATATAACCAAACCATTGTAAATGGGATTAAGTTAAAGAAAGTCAAGCTTTTCCTGCTATGACAAGGTAGAATATCTGATGTGAAAAAGGCCTGTTGATCATTTACACAATTGCAGGCTCAACATTCACACTGTACAGCTCAATATTTGTTAATTAAGCTGTGACAATACTTATAATAATTGATTATTAGATGCATCCAGTGGTCATAAAACTACATGATAAGAGCTTTTCTTTGTTTCTGTTGTCATGGATTTGCATTGAAATCATAGGACATGCACACACTATGATGTTATTAATCTGAGCTGGACAAGTTCATTTAGTTCAAACTGAACTGCAGTCAGTCATCTGCTGGCTTTTCTTTCCTTGGTGTGTTTATGAACAGTTTCTTCTGTTTTTAAATGATAACTGGGGGGAGTTAAAGTGTTACCCACACTTTCACATTTATTGTATATTAGTCTTATAGAGGTCAGTGTAACACTATATGGCTGCACACAGCTGTATGCACCAACTGCAGGATGTCAGAATGCACTGGGCCAGTTCCTTTGCTGTGCTTTGATTCTGCTGACGTACTACATTTGTTTTCAGAGTGTCCTGGTGGGTGAGGAGTTAAACAAACTCTGTATGGATGAAGGAGTTTCACTTGCTGACAAGGTGGCTCTCACGATAGGTCAGTAAGAAACTGTTGTTTTTTTTTCTTGAAGTGACATTGCTCAAGTTATCTCTAAAACACAGCTGGTGTGATCTGAAACACTTGTGCTCCTTCTACCAGCATTTTATGATTTTTGTTTAACTTAGATTTCACCAGCGATTATGACAGTGCAACACACATTTCTAATTTAAAAGTTGATGTTGACTGCATTAGTTTTCATGCATGATTTTGTTTCAAAACCTAGCTGGGCAGAAACATGTGATTCTGGATATGTTATAACAACCAAAGAGCATGAGAGGTTCAACATATGCACCTACATTTAGCATGTATTCCATACAGTTACAGACAAGCATTTGTAAAGTTAGTTGGTGAAGTCTTCAGTTGAGCCATGACCTCACTGCAATATTTAATCAACATACTAGAAGTAATGAAACAACCCGTCATTATGGCACAAGGGAATAAACATTCTGTATATGGGAGAGCTGGTAATTCCACATCATGTTTATCTACTGTAAATTGACCTGAGTTATTGTATGCTGACATGTTCACAGAGATACTGACTTCAGTAACAAAAAAGTGCATTAAACAGCAGACAGACACATTTAGAGACTAGCTGGTTACCACAGCAGAGCATTAAGCAGCTAAAGATACAGATACTTCCCTCAGGAGTTGGTAAAGACCAAAAACAGCTACTGTAAAAGAGAGTGAATATTGGACTTATGTTCATCAAGTGGACACAAATTACTGCTTACAGTTTTTCATATCTGTTGGATGTTTCAATAAGCAGCTGCAAATCAGCTTAGTTTTTTCCTATTGTATACACACAACAAATGAAACTCTGCACACAATTCTCAACAACAGGACTCCAGACTGCTAACCTCTCAGCACAATCCCATTGTTTTCACTTAAACAGAGATTCCAAATCACATTGTTGCAAAAGTCTGAGCACAAATCTCATCATTTTAACATACGTGGTTCACCTGGAAAACACCAGCTTTCAAAATGCCACATGCTAAATCACCAGCTGGTCTCACTCATGTCTCACCTGTTCACACTTATTTAGCAAAACACTCCAATCACTTAAAGAGGCCCTGTTAATATTTGTGTATTCCCAGAATAAGCTAATGATGTTGCAGTGTCAACTACAGGTTTACAGTATGACTCCGGGAAGCTGGGTTGTGAGTTTAGCTGAGTTGGAGCTCATTGGACAGACAAATGTGTGTCCTGTAGTGACACAATGATTGTGTCAATGTGATATTTACTGTATATGATATTCACAGTACTATTTTACAATATAACCACAGTCTTTATGCTGTGTAGACTTTGTACTATAAAATTGCAAACTGTTTGAGACGTTCATTTGATAGCTGTGTGAACTGTATGTTGGAAACAATCAGTTTCAAGAGGAGAGAACATGGTTTTGAATGCAGTGTTTCATTTTGCAAGAGATTTTTGGAGTTTTGTGTTAAGAGAAATTTAGCTTTGAGAAACGGAGCCATTCTTTAAGAAAACAGGTTTAATCAATGGGGGAAAACTGTAAAAAGTAATATGTCAGTGGGTTTTTTTTCCCACAACTCATTTCTGCTGCCCCCAAGTGGGGAAAAAGTTAAGCTATTGCAGGTTAAAAAAATTGGTCATTGTTGAAAACACTTCTAGTATTCTGACATTAAGAGTAAATCAAACATGCCATTAAATACCATTACCTTGAAATCACTTAATCGCACCATTCATTGAAAAAACATATTTCCCTCTTTCCTCTCAGGTCGCCTTGGTGAGAACATGTCAGTGAGGCGGGCGGTGACATTGGGTGTCCCTGCTGAGTGGCACATCGGCTCATACGTACACGGTGGTGTGAGTGACCAGACTGAGGTGGCTATGGGTCGGTATGGCTCCCTGGTCGTATTCCAGGGTGGAAAAGAGGGAGAACAGGAAGTTCTAGGGCGTAAGCTGGGACAGCATATAGTGGGAGAGGCCCCTGATTCCCTGGGCAACATGGATGACTTGCCTTGCGGTGAAAGTGAGACACGCCTGCTGCCTCAGACCTTCCTGGGAGACCCCAGCAGGACCGTGGCACAGTTCCTGAAGGGTCAACAGGCTCAAGTGCTGGACTTTGTCCGATTTCAGTGTGGTGAGACGGCCAGTGAAGATGCAAAGTGAAGGGAGGGAAGCCATTAATTTAAAAGGAATTGACATGTGTCTTAATGTAATATGAAGATGAAATGCAGCTACCCATTTATTCTTTAACATCCAGACAGTCACACAGTGTCGTCATGAATTGCAAAGCAGAATATGTTCAGAAGGTTTACCTGCAGTGGTGCCTGATGAAATCACAAGTCCAACAATAAAATTATTTTCTTTCTCTGTGGAAGTCCAGATTAATTTGCATATGTTACTTACTATTTTGAATTATAAGACCCACATGAACATCTTTCAATCAGGGAACCCACGGACACACACCAACCTACTGTCATAATTTTATTTTTTGTATGTTTTCTTTGTTCTCTTTGTGAGATAAAATCCTTCCTGAGGCCAATAACATCAGATCTTTACCCACACTTGCTACTTTTCCAGTATAGAATATGCTGTCCATCAGAGTTTAATGTGAAATACACTGATGGAATACACTCTTTCACTGAGAGAAACACTGGAGGGTTTCAATATTATATTCACCTTTAGGCTGTTCACATTCTCCTCCTGTTGTGGGCCTTGCTGCAGTGCTCTCCTATTGTAACACCCTCTGATCTCTACTCATTGCTCCTGTCACCATTGTTTCTTATCCTCTGAACATAGTGACATCACCTGAGTGCAGAAACACCAGTTTGAGTACAGATTGCAAATGCATACACCATTATCTTGTAGCTCATTTACCACAGTTTGAGCAATGTGTTGCATCATGAATTAGAATTTTTATTTCGGTCTGCAAATAGAAATAAGAACATTATGTATTAATCTACAAATACGGTACGGTAAGGTAAGGTAAGGCAAAGTGCTACATTTCATTGCTTCACAGGACAAGATAAGAACATCATCACAGGGACAGTTCTATCACATAAAACAGACATGGACTACATTTAACAATCACAACACAGAAACATACAGAGACGTCTAAAGTGCAAGAAAAAGTTCTGAGTGCTAAAATTCCATGTGTTTAATGCACGTTGCTCATTGCTCTATTGCACTAGTTTTTAACATTGTTCAACAGCTTAATGGAGGCTGGAACAAATGATACATGTAAATAAGGTCACGGGCTCTCACAGAAAATGGCAGATTCTGAAAAAGCACAGTGCAAAACATTACAATAAAGTAATTTAACATAGACACTTGTGCAGTCCAAAGAAGGTGTGGCCTGAAGTTACAGCTGATAACACCTACCCTTTTAACAGTACATCATATGTAGCAATCAACAACAAAACAAACCACAGCAGGCAAACAAGGCAAAATAGCAACACCTGTTAAGTGTAGGTTTGCCCAAGAATTGTACTGTCACAATGATAACCATCAAGATCAACAGAATTGCAGTGTGAAGCTATGACATTGATTCTGTGGTATTCCTATTTAAGGTTCATTTTAAATCATGTGTTCAGTAATTTATATATGATTATTAAATATTCTCACACGTGGAAATGTCCCACAAAAATTACAGCTATGGGTTTGTTATTAGTAGAGGCTTTTTCTTATTACTATTAATGTAGTTAGTTATTCAGTCAGGATAATAGAGAGGCTGTCATAGGCTGTTGCATGTCGCCGCGAGCAATGCGACTGTGAAATGGAGGCATGTGATTGGCTGTTGCTATTGAAGCTGAGGTGACATCATCAGGGATGTGCCGTTAGCCGAGCAAGTCGGTGTCGTCCACTTTAGCGTAGAGAAGATACTAGACTCTCGCCCGTCTGTCGTCCAGCAGCAACCACAAACAGACATGGTGAGTAAAGATGCTGTCTCAGGCTAATTTATTACACAATTATACTTTTAATATTTTTATAACAAACAAGAAAGCGCTGTTTTTTTCCCACTGAAATATTCTGACAACATGTACCGTTAACACAGTTACCGTTAAGCTAACTAACGTTAGCTGCGTATCTCTGCTGGCCTGCTCCAGTCAGTGTAGCTTAAACGTCAGTTAAGCCTTTAGCCAGCTGTACGTTAGCATTGATGGAGGATTAACTTGAAGCATTTAAACATCACACTAACGCCACTCTGTTACTCCCCTCTGCTTTTTTTCCAACCCTGCCTGAACCAGTCTGACTTCACAGAGGACCAGATCATGGGTGAGTCAACATCTCATTAGCAATTGTCTTTCTGTTTTTAATGGATACGGTTATATGAACATCGTCGTAATATTTGAAATAGCTTTGTGAATGCGTCATTCTGACCCTGTAGCTCGGCTGTTGTCTCTGCAAACCACCGGACCTCTTCAGGTACCTCATGCTGAGAGGCTTACAGACTGAGATACAATAAACTCAACATTTTCTAACTGTGTGAGGTTCAGTGTTAGTTTGTTCACGCTTTTCACCTGACAAATTACATCTGAATTCATCACGAGTGCCACAAAATGTTATACTAACCTGCAAAAAATGAAGTAGTAAAGCATGTTAGTGTTTCTGCATGCTGATGCCGAAATATATTATAGGTATTAGCAGTCATCTTAGAGACAGGGTGTGTTTTAGCAGAGTGGTGTATGCATTGGGGTGTATGGTGGGGTGTCACCAGCTACTCTGTGGTGTTGTTTAACATGACAGACGTCTCTCATTCAGTCGTCCATAACCCCCACCCACTGACACAAGTCACTGTAGGCCAGTTTTTAGATTGTTTGGTTGATCGGTTTAAACAAAACACAACATATATTTCAGGCTTTCCTTGAAAGTCTGTTCAGGTAATACTCTGACTGGAAAACCAATCATTAAAGCTACTAATGCACTATCAGGTAGTGTCATTGTTGATGAAGTGAATGCATCATCAGTAGGCCACAGTACTTCAAAGGGTGTTTATGTTTTATCACGTTCATGTTCCCAGAACTTTGGCATAATACATTTTTGTCACAACAGTGTCACCTACCTATGCAGCAGTGATGGGAGCTGCTCCTGCCAAACAACTGGAAAAATGAAGAGACCTAATTGCATGTGTCTACTGTCAGAACTACTTGTGCAGAGGAATCAGCTGATCTTCTACACAAACAACTTTAATTACACACATACAACAGCATCTGTAGTGTTTTAAGCCTTGGTGTGATGCACATGTGTTTGCTTGCATCCTCAGCATTTGTGAGTAATGTTTATGAACGTGCTGCACAGCTGGATGTGAGTTCTACCTCTCTGTCTCCATATTAGAGTTCAAGGAGGCCTTCCTTCTGTTTGACCGGACGGGTGAGGGGAAGATCACCTACAGCCAGTGTGGGGATGTGATGCGGGCCCTTGGGCAGAACCCTGTCAATGCTGAGGTGCTCAAGGTCCTGGGAAACCCCAAGTTAGAAGGCAAGTCTCTGATTCACCAGCCATAACTTAAAAAAAGATCAGTTCAGCCTACTACATTATCGTTACCCTGGCTAACAGTTAAGTGTGTACAATGTAATCCCTCATACCACTCAGGGAATCAGTATGTGCTGAACTGCTATTTTTCAGTCTTGTCTGGGGTACAGATGTGAGAATACAACTGTTTGATCTGAGTTTGAGAGAGAGAAAGCGAGGGATGGGGCTCTTAAGCTTGATTCACATCTATACTATTTGTGTCCAAGGTGGCAGGAATATGTGGAAGTACAATCTGTGGTTCGAGCAACAGCCAGCCAAAATCTGCTGGATGATGCGTAATGCACTGTCAGTCAGATATAAGCAGAGACATGAGCAGAGAGATCTGGGTGCTGGCAAGATGGAGGGAAGTTAACTACAGTTCATTTACACATACTACCCACACTGTTAGGATACAACAGGCAAAGTATCCCTCTAACTTCCACTGAACAAACTGCTGTGGAAGATTAACAATGGCAAATGGACTGTGATGTGATACATATCCCTATGCTGTGAATGAAGAGAGACTCTCTAAATCCTGTGCCAGCTTCCTGACATCCATACAAATCTGTCCTTTTCATAACACTTCTGGAGGTTTTTGACCCCATTGTTATTGACTGACCCGCAGAGATGAACTACAAGATGCTGGATTTTGAACAATTCCTGCCGATGCTTCAGGCCATTGCTAAGAACAAGGACCAGGGCTCCTTTGAGGATATCGTAGAGGGTCTGCGTGTCTTTGACAAGGAGGGAAACGGTACAGTGATGGGAGCGGAGCTGCGTCATGTTCTCACTACACTCGGTAAGTCCACAAAAGCCTTCAAAACACAAAGAAGATTTGTCATTAATCCTTATCCAGCTGAGCTGACTGTCTTATCGTCATGCAAAGTAAAATCCCCTCAGGCCGTTCTCTGTGCCAAGAACAGTGTAAACAAACGTATTGTCTCTTCTTTTAGATTGTCGCTTCTTTTCTTCTTTTCTTATCGCATCTCTTTTTGTGTTCCAGGTGAAAAAATGACAGAGGAGGAGGTGGAGACTCTTTTAGCGGGACATGAAGACGCCAACGGCTGCATTAACTATGAAGGTAAGACTGCACAGCATGTGGACTCAAATGACTCCATCAAGGCTATACTGTACATTGTGCCTCATAAAAATGTGTGACACCACTGTTATGGAAATACAAAACAACAAGAGTCATTGTGTCTTTGTGTCACATGCTCACCGACATGATGTTCCCGCCTCACAGCCTTTGTCCGTCACATCATGTCCGGCTGAACAGAGGGTATGAGCAAACCCTTGAAAGTCTTCCTCACTGCTGATCTCCTGACTCAGACAGAGAAACAGCTCACTACTGCACAGAGGCCTCACTTTCACCTATGGATAGTGAGTGAGGAAGGGAGACAGTTTGTGCATGTCTGAACATGCAGTGGCAGTGCAGCGCAGCAGTTTAGATAACTTTCTCACACCCAAAACATGTTAGGTTAGTTCCAAAAGTCAGCTAGAGTGGGCTACCCATGGCATCATGCTAAAGGTGACAGCAAAACAAACACATGAAATTATAAGTGCATATTCTTTGAAAAATGTGGCCCCTGTAATATGAGAACTTTCATCGCTCTGTGGCCTCTGAGCATTGGTGTTGTTCTCTGCTTTTTGTCTTTCTGACTTGTTGACCTTTTAACCTTTCTCTCCTGCAGTGGCCCTTTGCCTCCCCTGGCTGTAGCATCCCTGCATGTTTCTATTCAGTTTCTATTCTCCTGTGATCCACATCCTCTGTGGCTTTGAAAGAAAAAAAGCCCTACAGACACTAGGTGTACAAAAAGTGAGACAGTGAAAGTATTGCAGACAGTTTGAATCTCATCTTTGCTCACAACATGTCAATATGGACTTTAAAAGTAGGTTTCTTTCATTGACCTAAGTGTCAAGAGCTCATCAAATCTTAACCATATTCTCTGCTTATTTAGTTAAATGGGCTGATTATGTCTTAAATGTTCTCCTTCAGTTGCCATACTTGGGACGCTGCTGCCAGCTCTGTGGCCATGCTACACCTTCATATTTATGTCTGAATGTTTTTGTTATCTTTCCAGAAGTCTGACCTCCTGTTCTTCCCCTCTTTTTTTCCCCCCAGTTGTTTCTCATTTTTTAGTACTGTACCAAATGTCAATCAGATCTGTTTTATTTTTGTCCTCTATGCTGGTGAGGACAGAGCTTGTATCCCTGCCGACAGATGTTGTATGTGATGTTTGTTCCTGCCCAGATTTAACGCTGATGTTGTGTTTGTCCCTCTCTGTCGTGACAGAACTCGTCCGGATGGTGATGAGCGGTTGAGGATTTCAGAAACACTTCCAGCTTTGATTTTACTCCTGAATATTTTTGTATTTTTTGTCTTGTCTCTCCCTGTCATCCACGTCCTCCTACCTCCAACAAGTCTGTGTTTTCTTTTCTCTCTTTTTTTGGACATCTTTATTTTATTTAAAAAGTGCCTTTTCTGTCTGATGTGAAGAAACCCTTTCATCTCATTTTGCAAACACTATTCAGCCTCACAGGACCTCCCTGACGCTCCCTTGATTATGTCACCTGTTCTGTACTTCTCAATCAACCTATCAGTGTTGTTGTTACCGTTTTGTTTGGATGGATATAATAATGGGACATATTACATTAAACACTAATGAATAAAATGGTTTCCAAACTGACTGAGTCTTTGGCTTGGATCAAATATTTCTTTTTGGTTTGAGATATTACACATTTTCAATTGCATTACATTAGAAAAACATTATTACCAGTAAAATATTGGAAAAATTAACATGTTGGAAAAAATATCAACAGTGAAATTTTTACAAAATGACATTAAATTGTCTGAAAAATATCAGTAAAACATTAAAGAACGAGCGACCATCTTGCAATGGGATCACTCCAGCTGTGATACAATGATCTGCCTCTTAGAACATATGTTGGCCCGCACAAGAATATATTTGGATTAAGTGCTCTATATTGACTGAAATGTCTATACCCAGCAAAAATGAAGAAAAAAAGAGTCATCATTTAAATACAATGTCTTAAATCAACATTAAACCGTGATAAAAAGCAGATTAACAGCTTGACAAAACAATCTGAACTCAAGGCCCACTTACTTGAGTGTTCTGGAGCTTTTGAGTGTATCTCATGGTCCTCACCAGCAGTTGGAAACTGGTTAGTATGTGTGAACTTTGCATGATTCTGAGCACCTACAGGACTTTGATTCAGTCATAAGCTTCGTTATACTGTGTGACAGTGAGCCAGCATTCACATAAGGGCCATCAACTCAATCATTAACTTATTTATCTGTTTTTCCTGCTGTGACATGTCAAACATGTCCTCTGTGGATTAAGGCCTGTTGTCTGTAAACATTTATTAGCAAAAAAAAAAAAGAGTCTTGAAGTCTACAGTTGGTTGTCAATGGAGAGATTTCATATCAACATCAGTTGTGTGATACATCATTAATTCTCTTCTTCAGCATCCTGATTAACCTGCAAAGTAGTTTATTATTCATTTTAATGTTTTGATTGGCTGCTACCTTGGCAAGGTCTCTCTTGTAAAAGAGACTTTCAATCTCAATGGGACTTCCTGGGAAAATAAAGGTAAAATAAATAGATAAAGAGTCTGTGAGGTTACAGACAAAAAACACACCACTCCACACAGCGACTTCCTCTTCACATCTTTATTTTTTCCCCAACATTTTGTAATTAAAACCTGAACCTCTTTTGCTTTGCCTTCTTTCTTTTAATACAAACTGCCAGAGTAACTGTCAGCACGAATGTGATGATTTACGGAGGAAAAATTGATTTCTACTGTATAATAATCAATGCAATTGCTGCTACCTTCAGCATAGTGAAAAACATACAGAAACTTAACATACACTTATTTCATACCACAAAATCCACACAATGTAGTTATAACACAGATAAAAGAAGTCCATTTATGCTCACGGCTGTGGTGAGGTCTGCAATACTGGCTTGACGGACATCAACTGTAAAGTTTCACCATCTGACTGGACTATATTTCATGACACTGACGTGATGTGTCGTGTGCGGAACGAAGCATGTTATTTTTTTTGAGTTTCGTCAAACTCTGTGACACACGACAAATGGCACTGGAAATAAAACTGAACGGTAATGTGGTTTACAGATCTTAATGGCATGCGTTCACATACACACATGCGCACAGTCACATCTCAAGACAGGCCCGGCAGACCTGCCTGATCCATACACAACAGTGGAGAGGGTAAATATAGGCTACAAAGGTAATAATATACAGGTACAATGTCGACATATCAAAGAAAGAAGATGGAAAAAACGGACAGTAAAAAATATAAAAATCGATAGGATAAAAAGTGAGGATATTGTTGCAGATATTAAGGACACAATTCTCCATTGTCAGCTGTTTAAGGTGCGAGCTCCCTTGTTTTTTTTTGACAGCATTCACATTTCTTCCACGTGTAACTTGAAATGCACCAGCGAAAAAACAAGCTGCTTAAAAAAAAAAAAAAATCCTTTTCACTTCCCAAGCAACCACAATAAAACTCACTGAATAAATGTGAGATAAACATGACTATAAAAACATTTTGGTTTAGCAATCAACACAAAGTCATATTATGAATAAAACACTTAAGCGGTCGCTGATAGAATTAGTACTCCCAGACTTTCAGATAAAACTACATTCCTCACAAAAACTACAACCTGGATGCTCTGAGTTCATCCAGATGTGAAAAACATGAAGCTCCTCACCGACATGTTTTTCCTCTAAGTGCTGTCAAAAGGAGGGACATTATTGAGAAATAATAAAAGAGAGGTCTTTTCAGGATCTCATGCTGTCAGTACTTTCAAATATTATTATTACAGGGCAACACGAGGGTGTGTTTGTAACAGGAAATCCAGTTTACAGTACATTGTCTCAAACTGCATCCAAACCAACTTAATTTCAAACCGGCTTCTGATTTGTTTTCATTCATTACAGACATTTCTCCAGAGAGAGATGTTTGTTTTAGACATGTGACCTTCAGGCCAGACCCTGTAGAGTGACCGTTTGTCCATGTAATGCAAATAAAAATAAAGGAAAAAAGTAACATTCCCAATCAAGTTTCCAAAACCTTCAGCGTGAAAAAGCATTTAAGACAACAAAAGGTCGATATATAAGTGCTAAAGTTCAATTTCATGGATGCTTCAAGTCTTTTGATGAGACCTTGGGAAACATGTCAAAAGTGCATTTTGTCTTACATATATTTTAATTAGTACCTACAGTACGAGGGGGGGACTCTGGAGAGACTGTGAAGCACAAGACTCCACGAGCTGTGACAAACTGCTGCAGCGAATATATGCAACAATTTCCGAAACACTAAAAACACAAGATGAGTCTTTTCTCTTCTTCTCGTCGAGCGGCAGCATGTTGGTGAGACCCTCTCAGTTCACCACGTCTCTGGTGTTTAGCTGAAAACTATGAAGTGAGATGTTGCAGTCTGATCGACCGCACGCAGGATGAACAGCTTCTGTTTGAAGGAACATTTTTCTTCATAGGCAGATTCAATTTAAAAGGGACTTCTTTTTTCAACAGTCAGAGTAGAGCTGGTTTGATTTAGACATAATCGTTATTTCTTTCTCGCATCAATTGTCCTGTTGGAAAAAACAAACAAACAAACAAAAAGAGCTGAACATGTAAAATGAGTTCTCTTCCTTCGGTTTATGACTTCTTCATTTCAGATGATACAGGCAGGATTCAGAGTGGTCAGAGTCATTCAGATTCTCAGGCAATGTAATTTTCTCTCACTGTGGAGGTGGGACTGGAGCTGAGGGGTGGAGTGTGTCCCCGGGAAGAGGGGCGTTGGGCTCTGTGAGTGGGGGGGGACAAGGAAACACAACTGTGTTCACATTATATTAACAACTTCTTGACACATCTCTATAAAATGTTCTCCTTGCTTTGGGTGCTCAAGTAAAATTTCTGTTAACAGGACAAATAGTTCAAATAAAGTTCATAATATCCTCAAGAATTTCGTCTCTTACATGAGACTAAGGGGCACCCACCCACATAATATTCCTTTAATTATTTGATAATGGAAAGAAAAAAACAGCAGACAAATATATGTAATTAATGTATGACATGTATTAAAAAAACGCCGCTAAAGTTGATTAAACTAATGGATTTGTTGACTGTCAGAAAATGAATCAACCATTTTGATAATGTCTTACTAGTAGTTCCCAACTGGTGTGTCACGGTCCAAAAGTGGGTCACGGGTCCATTCTGAATGGACCACATGTGACTCACAAGTGTGACGAGTTTGTGAAAAACACACTTTATTTATATGTACAGTGAATATCCAACACAGAGCTTTTATTTTGAAGTGTCATTTCCTGCTGAAGAGTGAGTGAATAACAGACAGCTACTTAACAGAGACAGCAAACTAGCTCAACAACATGGTCAAGTTTGACGCTACATATTTTAATCTGTGTGGACCTCAAACTAATGACAGTGGACAAATCTGGACCCAGTGGCCGGACCAGCACTTCAAAATAAAAGCTCTGTGGCTGGACCAGTTGGCAACCAGTGCCTTAAACGATTAAGTCATTTCTAAAGCAAATTTTCTCATTCAAGCTTCTCATATTTGAGGTTTTCCCACTTTTCCTCATTTTTATATCCCTGTACCTTGAAGATATAGATAAAACAAGCTTTTTAAAGATGCCAGTTTGGGATATTTCACCATTTTCTGATACATTTGTAACTGCAAAAATAACTAATAGATTAACTGAGAATGAAAATAACTGCAAATATTGCAGTGTTGCACAGCGTTTTTATAGTTCAGCTTAGTTTTTATTGTTTAAAAATGTGCAGTTTTAGTTTATTTTTTATTAGTTTGATTAATTTGATTAATTTTCTTTTATTTTTTTCTATGATATGGGGAATATCTGTCATGGGCAAGATTTAAGAAGTCCAGAATAGGTGTTACAACACAAACACTGTGTGAAGGCAGTTGACTCACAGTCTAGACGTATGCACCAATGCCTCTTCATGCTCACTGTGTTGGTAAATTTAAACAAAATGGCAAAGACTAAAACTAAAGACATTTCCTGTATATTTTCATTTTATTTTATTGAGTTTTATAAGAAAACAATATCATTTCAATTAGTTTTTTCTCTAAAGTCTAGTTTTTCATTTTTATTCCATTCACTTAAATGCGTTTTCACACCTAGTTTTAGTTTTTAGTTTAGTGTTAGTTGGTTAGTTAATTATAAAAACTCTGATCCTGCACTGAAACTAATTTCTGCTTTCTATCAACATAAACTGGAATATTGGTCTTCACTTGTATCATTTCATTAATATGTAATTGCATATAAAGTTGCAGCACTGTGTACATTTCACAACTATCATGAAACCGTGGAAAGCACATATGAGATATTCAACTCTCAATTTGCTAATTATTAAGGTAGTGACTTGAGCTGTTTTATAATGGCTGTCAAAAAAATTCATTGTTCATTAGGAAAGCCTGAGAATTATGTACCTGCAGTAAGAAGCACACTGTCTATCTGCTTATTTGGTTGTCTACAACATTCATCAGACAGTCTATTAAAGCCTATTAAAGCTTTAAATTAGAGCTCACCGTGGAGTACAGGAGTAGTGCTGGAGCTGGAGCTGGAGTGGGCTGCTGGGGTGGCGCCTGGAGGGCAGGGCGGCGAGGTGTGAGCGCCCTGAGAAGGTTGGGACTCAGGGGCTGGGGCAGAAGCTGAGGCTGGGGGCGCGGGACTGGGGGCCGGCTGTGGCGCTGGTGTGCTGGGAGCTTGTTGACTTGCAGTCGGGCCCTGGGGCGGCGGGGCTGAGGCGGCCTGGTTGGCATGAGGGCCCCCAGCCTGGCTGTGCTGCTGGTGCTGGATCTGCTGGAAGTGCTGCTGGCGGGCCCTCATCTCGGCGTATTTCAACTGCTCCATGTGGAAGGACTGACGGTCAGCCAGCAGCTGCTGACGCTGGTACTCCAACTACACACACACACACAAAATAAAAAGTTAAAGGTATTGTACTGCAGTTAGGTTGACTACTGTCTTCATATACTACACATCCCAGAATCCTTCACTCACAGCCTCCCTCTCTCTGTCCATGATGGTTTCCAGTTCTTCAAAGTGTCGCAGTTTAATCTCCAGCTTCTTCATTTGGGTCTCCACCAGCAGAGCAACAAGGGATTTGATCTTCCTCTCTTCCACTGCAGCCAGGTGCTACGCAGGAAGTGAAGGAGAAACTTAGATTAGAGAAAATGTAAAAAAAAAGGTGACGAAGGGTGCAGCAAGTCGAGACCTGGTGATAATTAACTTTACCTTGGCTTTAACAGCAGCAGCAGCGAGCGCAGACGCAGCAGCAGTGGCCAGATTTCCCTCTCCCACATCCCGCTCCACCTTCGCTTTCCTCTCTCCTTCACTCTCTGCTTCTCTTTGTCCTTCCTCTGTTCCCTCTTTTCCATCCTTCTCCTTCTCCCCGTCGCCTGCGAGAAAAGAAAAGGTTCATTTTTTTCACCTGTGGCAACAACACTGTATTTCCTGTATCTGACTGAGGTGCATTTTCGTACCCATCTCGGACTCTGTTTTGTCTGCATCTCTCTCTCCTTCTTGGTCTCTTCCTCTTTCTTCTTCCTTCTTCCCATTCTCTGTCTGCTTCTCCTCTTCCTCAGTCGCTCCATCTTTGCTGTCCTGTACAGGAAAGCAAACACAGCACAATGAGCTTTGCAGCAAATCACTCGCAAATCAGAAACATTATATTATGTTCAACATGCGTCATACCTTGGCTTCCCTCTTCTCTTCGCCTGATTGGCTGTCACTCTTGCTTTCATCACTGCTTTCATCTAGAGAGAAGACAAGTCACTTTATCTTTTTCTGTCCAAAGTGTGAAGGTTTTTTTTCTTGTTATTATGCACGCTGTATGTGTGTGTGTCCATCCTACCAGGTCTCTCTCCCTCCTCCAGGCCAGTGCCTGCGATGCCACTACCCTCCAGGCCATACAGCGGGTCCTGTCGGCCACTGACCCTTGCTGCCTCCTCCACCCGCCGTACATGAGCCTCGACAAGCGCTGCAGGAACCTCCTCCTTCATACGAGAAAACTCCTCTGAGAGGAGCAAACAAAGATCAAGGTTATTGATGTAAAGCAAAATACAGATTTGGGGATGACTAATGAGTGATTAATAATGACCAGAAGGATTTCAATTCAAATTTATGATTAAAACATTTAATTATTCAAGTCAAAATAAGTTCCTTCTCACCCAGAGCAGATTTGGCCGCAGCTGAGGCCACTCGTGGGTCGACGACAGAGGCGAGGAAGGCCACTGTGCTCATGACGGGGTTTCCTGCCTGGCTGAAAGGTACCGGCTGGTAGGCCAGTGGTCCCAAAGATGAAGAGTGGTCCTCCAAGTAAGGGTCTTCAATGGGCAGCCGCAGGAAGTGCAGGATGCACTCGTCCTGCGTACGGCTGCCCACATGTTCTGAAACCTTGTTCCAGTCATCCTTGTACATCTCCAACCCCTGACGGAAGTGAGGGCAACATTTACATCTGCATTTCTACGTTCTTATTTTCACATTTACAACAGGAATTATCTGATCAACTGATATTAAAGATAATTTGTACCTCAAGTAGTAGTAGTGTTTCTTGTTCTGTCCACTCCCTCATAGAGCTCGCTGTACTCTTGCTCTGTGCACAAATATCACCAACACTTTGTTAATATGTCACATCAATGTAAATCACAGCAAAAGCATCATTCTGTCATGCATCCTCTTAGACTTGTACCTTTGTAGAGCCAGTCTTCTTGCTGTACATGTCAGTCCGCAGCCCAAAGTTTTGCAGATCTGCTGGTTTCTCCTTCACTTTATCTGGGAAGGACATCATCTGCTGGGTGGCAGGGGTCTGCAGATACACAGTGACAGGGGGACACATTGAAAATAACCTAGAATGTGTGTGGATGTGTGTGTGTGTGTGTGTGTGTGTGTGTATGTGTGTGTGTGTTTGAGTGTATGTTCACCTGGGCCGTCTTGGGCTGCAGGGGCACCAGACTGGAGGGAGTGTCTGCTAGGACGTGGAAGTGAGAGGTCGGCGGGGGACCCATGGGTGTGGGTCTGCTCTCAGAGTCCACCTGGTAGTTAATCAGGCCCCACTGCTCCAGGAAGGCGTGGACTCTGCAGCAGAAGAAGAAGAAGCACGGTGTATACCACACTGACAGCAGCTGGACTAAAGCAAGTGACTGTGTAGCTAGTAAGTGTTGTGTATTGGCAAAAATCTGGCAGTTAAACTCTGGATTGTGTAGAAAATTTTAAATGTAGTCTCCACCTACCTCATGATTGCACACACATCTCCTGCCAGGTTCCTGCGACAGGCGGTGGACGTCAGATACTCCTGAGGGTTGAGCCGGTAGGTGTCGATCATGAAGTTCCTGTACGCCAGATAACTGAAAGAAGAAGATGCAAAGAAAAGTGAGATACTTCAACTAAGACCTGATGTTGTACCAGGTGTATTTACTTTTTACATTTGTGTCAGTGTAATAAAAAAACTGATATTGTTTTGTGTGCAGATCAAATACTCACATCTCTGGTGTTTTGGATTTGTTTTTCCCATTGAAAAACTCGGGCAGGGCTCTGCGCTCGATGGCATGAACACTGGGGGGAAACAATTACGACTTTGTGAGTACTCACAGCTGAAATTCATCTGAATGACTCACTTCGGGCTTTTTGAGTCACGTCTCATGCTCTCTAAGGCTGAGACTACTGGTTTTCATCTCAACTAAATTCACACCAAATGATTTTACAAGGGTTGCAACTAACGATTATTTTCACTGTCGATTTATCTGTCAGTTATTTCTTGATTCATCAATGAGTTGTTCAGTCTATAAAACGGTAGAAAAAGTCAGCCAGTGTTTCCAAAGCCCAACATGATGTCCCCAAATGTCTTATTTTGTCCACAACCCAAAGACATTGAGTTTATTGTCATAGAGTAAATAAAAAATACATCAATATTCACATTTAAGAAGCTGGAATCAGCAAAATTACTCCAATCGTTTAGCTCTAGATTTCACCCCCACAGTCTCAGTTTTTTCGTACTTTTCAAGTGTCTGAATCTATAAATACATGGCAGACATCTGTAAATTCAGTTACCTACCTGTTGTAGTCGAACCAGGCAGCATAGCTCGGAATGATAATGTGATGAGTCTGCTCGGTCACGTTGTCCTCGTGAAGGTCCGAGCTTTTCACCGGTTCACCCTTCACGCTCGGAGAGCCTTCCTCCTCCTCCTGTTTAAACACGAGTACACGCACTCATGAAGATACGCATGTTTACTGTCCTCACTGTTCCCATGTTTTCTTGCACTCTTACAAACTGCCTTACCTTGCCTGTTGTTTCCATGGACTCATCCTCTTGCTCATCTGCTCAAATCACAAAACAACAGGAAGTGAATATAAAATGGAAGAGCAGGTAACACTGTCAGAAAATTAGTTTTCAGTGAGAACACACTGAATACAAAATTAAGTGTCACTAGATTAACAACAAGGATGAATAGAGAATTTATTTGCAGTTGGGAGTGTTTATTTTTCCTCCATGTTGGGAGTGATAACAGTCATGTGAAAAAAAAAGTGCTATTTTATGAAAAATAACAAACAGAACCACAATTAAGTAATACATTAATGACCCAAACCTGATATCATTAACAAGTCAGAGAAGATTACTCTTGATTTCCCACTGTTTACATGCATCAACGCAGATCATGTTTCTCTTCTGCTCGTCGAAAGACGATTGTACAGTCTACATTTACGTCTGTGCTTGATTACGCTTATAATTTTTCTATATGCACGATTCTCCCTCCACCTTAAAGCCTCAGTGTATCACAGTGCTTCATCACAGGTGATACATCTGTCACTCACCATTGCTTCTGATATGAAAAGTTGGGGTGGCTCTCCTTAACAAACACAAGGGAGGAGAATTGTATGTTGTTTATTTATAAAGCTTTACTGCAAAAACTGCCTGGTTACCTCTGCTCTCTGACTGCATTTGAATACAGAGAGACATCTTAACATTAGTTACAGAATGAGCTCCAAAAACATATAAGTTATTCTCTTATTCCCCCTGAACTTTTTAAAAGGTTGTACACATGTACTTTAAATCACAATATTGTGTGCAGGTGTGTGCATGTGTTATTTTTGTGTACAGGTCTCTCTTGAAAAAGAAATTCCGATCTCAAAGAGACTACCTGTTTAAGAAAGGGCCCATTTTCTTGTGAAAGTAGGGACTAGTGGCCATGTTGGAGGCAACACATAAATACGTTCTGCTCACCCATATCTGTTCCTCCCTTGACTGGAGTTGAATCAGAGTCCTTCTTGGTGTTATCTGCAAAGAGGCAGTAACAGACTACTTTAAAGTCTTGAAGGTGACAACTGAGTTTATCTTTAATGGTCATATATGCTTATTTTTTGTATATTCTAAACAAATGTGTACTTGTCTTAGGTGGGTTTCCCTCTTCAGATGCTGGAACAGGTGACGCTTCATCCAAGTCTTTACTAAGATCCTCCTGTTCCTCCTCCCTTTGGCCCCGTTTAGACTTGGTGTATGGGGTCGTTGGCCTGTCCACACACACAAAATGGATGTTATTTAATGATACTGCATAATGTCTCTGATACAGCTGGTTCTACATTCTTTAAAAGCAAATGAGTGTGGCATCATTACATAAAGACGTCTGGTCACTGACCCTTTTTTGGTATTCTTCTTCTTGCTCTCCTGAGGCGGAGGGGTCGGGGAGGGCGACGGCGACCTCTTCCTCTTCTTGGCACTGCCAGGCTTCTTGTCCCTCCGCTCGTCAGGCGTGGTCACCTCATCTGTCAGGGTCTTGGCTGAGATCCTCTTCCTTTTAGGGCAGCCCTCTCCCACTTCATAGTCCTCCTCATTCATCCACTCATTATATTGGTCCAGGTCTAAAATCCACTTGGCATGAACCTGTGAACAGAGATCATACGCTGTATAACCAATACTGAAATATGCCTGAGTGAAATGTCACCAACTTATTCCACAGTTCAACCAGGCAGTGTTGCACATTTTCTTAGCTACATCTTCTAGAAATCAGCAACAGTCAATTTCAACATGCCACAATTTAGAAATGTCTAGAAATTAAATTAAAAATTCTTTATGTGGATCCACAGCAGAGGTAGCTAAGAACATTAGTGGGGGTGTTTTCTGGATCCTATGTTGGTTTTGTGGCTTAAAATCTACTGTTGGGCAAATAAAGCTGGCTTAAAAAGAAAATAAATCTGTTAATCTTCAAAGGAAGTTTTCATTTTTTTCATGTCAAAACATTTCTAAGATTTAAATACAGTATGCCAGCACACTACAGGAGCAGTCGCTGATTGAAGACAAATGCAATTAATCTTGATTACGTCACTCTGAAGTTGTGGTCTAGAGAAAACATAACCACTGTGGGTAAACAGAAACAGGGTTCTCGATAGCAACCTAACCGAGTGTGCTGATTTTTGTGTGAATACAGCTCCAAACATTTGGACGCTTCACTGCTCCTACTATCATGTCGTAGTGAGCACTGAACGCCTTGAGCGAGTGATGCTCTGAATACACAATAGGAGCTTCCGACAGTGCTTTGAATTTATGGTTCAGCCAAGTGCCAGAGTAAGCTTTGTTGCTCCAAGTGCCAATTTGCCACAGCACCTCATTCTTGGATGTTTTGCACAGAGAGTGAGAGTGCTGCTGCCAAGCCAGGGAGCTATCATCTCTGTGTACACAGTCCCCTGACAGGTTTGTGTAATGACGAAGAGGCTGAGACACATAAAATTAACTTCCATCATTAAAGACTCAAGACTTCCATTTTAAATTACAGCCCACGTAAAGACGTTTTCCAAAAATCATGCACATAAAATGGAGCACAGGCATCTATAATTTCCCATCTAATGTAACCATGCATCATGCACTCAAAAACAAAGTAAATGTGATTTATTTAAATATGTCACTCATTCTAAATGTCACTTAGGCTCAATAAAGATCAGGAACAATCAGATACAACACATACACTGTATATATATGATGTAGTTGAATAGTGTGAAATATGTTAAATTAAACTGGGGGAGATGTAAGCAGATATTAAAAAGGGATTTGTTGAAAATGTTAGATAGAAGAAAGCATAAAGGACATTTTTTTAAAAATGGGAATGGGTGACAAAACAAAAAGAGAGGCAATAAGGGGAAAAAACAAAGAATAAGTCAGTAGAAATGAAATACCTTTCGGGGCTTTTCTGGGCTGGGAGGATCCTCCACAGCAGCCTCGATCTCACTGGCTGGGATCCAGGTGTCATAACTAAGGTCAAAGGTCATAGCAGGAGAGAGATCACAAGTTGGGGCTTGCAAAAACATCTCAAGTAGACAAATGTGTAACTTAAAGGGATAGTTTGAATTTTTTGAAGTGGGGTTGTATTGTGTACTTATCCATAGTCAGTGTATTACATACAGTAGATGTCAGTTGGCATTGTACTGCTGAGGAGGAGTCAGCAACTAAATGTATTTGAACTATATTAAAAAATCAGTATCAGTTTAAGTGAATGCAATAATGACAGTATTTTCACTGCTTTACCTCTCTGTCAGACAGCCCATTCTGACAGGAAGTTGTTGACAGCTTCAGTTCCCCATCTATGCTCTTGTTAAAGCCACCAGACTCCATTGACAAAAGCAGTAATTTTAGCTCACTGAACATGGAAGCTGCTGGTCTATTACTGCTTCAATCACTTAGTTAGTGTGTATTATTGTGTGACTTAAGTGAATCCAAACTAACCCTTTAAAATGCCAAAGTCACACAGTTACATAAATAAAATAACTGATCAAGGCAGTGGTAGACCAGCAGCTCCTGTATGTTATATCATTGTTTTTCTCAATGGAATCTGGCTTTAAAGAGAATGAGAAAAGGCCTTCACTTCCTGCTGGAAATTGCTCTCTGACATTAAGGTAAAGCACTGAAACTATTCTAAATAAAGCGTACACTTAAACTGATTTTTCTGAGTGACACTTGTTTTTTAGGGTTCTTAAATTACATTTTGTTGCTGACACCTCCACAGCAGTAGATTGCTTAGCTTCAATGTCACACTCCACTCTGCTTCTCCAAACCGGGGCCACTGTATGTTATATACTGTCTGTGGATAAGCACCTCACACAATCCCACTTAAAAACATCTGCGCTATCCCTTTAAGCTTGTAGAGTTTAGTCAAAGTAAAACAAGATTAGCAGATTCCCTCTACACTGAGGGAACTGTGTTATAATTCCACAATACGATGAGGAAACAGTTTACAGTTAGGTGTAAAATGTTGGTGTTGGTGTTGATATCTCTGTAAACTCAGCACCAACCTGTCAGGAAAATATCCCCAGTGGAGCAGCACTTGCTTATCTCTCTTCATCACGGGACGCACCCACTCCTCTGGACAGAGAAGAAAAAAGGACATCAGCACAAAGCCAGTTCAAGCAGCAGAATTCACAATGAAAAAAACCTGTGCTTAGACACAAAGTGTGAAGCCTCACCTTCCTCTAAGCTGGTGGGAATAGGAACGACAACATGGGAGCTGGAGGCCTTGTCCTCAGTTACTGAGCCCTGCAACAGATAAAGTCACAAGGAAATATGAGTTAAGCTTACAGTGTACAATGTCTTTTAAATAGACTAATGGCCTCACATGCAGGCCAGTTTTCTGTCTGTAATACTGAGACTTAAAAGGACAGAGCAAAAAACACACCTGATGCCTTTTGATGATGTCTTTCAGTTTCCCCAGCAGTTTTGGCTCTATGTCAGAGCTCAGGTAGATCACCGGTCTGCTCAGGCAGTTGTTCTGAAATGACGAAATGTAGTGTGAATGAGTGAATAGGCAGAAAAAAATTGCTATAAATCTATATTTTTAATAATCTCAGTTAAATCAGGAACTCTGTGTGTCTGTGTCATTGAGCGCTTCAGATGAGGAGAGCTGGATGATCTTGTAGTGTAACTGCAAGACTGATTAAGTAGGATTACTGTTCAAGTCACATGACTGTGTGCCCTTCATTATTTCTATCTAAAGCTCAGGCAGCCTGATTCTGAGTCTCTTCACAAATATGATGTAATAATCATAGGAGACGTGCAACCTCTCCAACAGAGTGTTTTCTTTGCATTCATTTAGCTCTGGTGCCTGCGGCAGAAAACAAACAAGAGAAATTTGTCTCCTGCTGGAGCTCACTGTTGATCTGTTAGAAACAAAAAATGTAATTACGGCATGTTGTGGGAATGTTGTAGACGCTTTCTTTGATACAGTAATATAAATAAACACTCACAGAATTAGAGCTTGAAGCATTTATAACTGCATTCTGGCTGTCCAGGTAATGTGTGTTGCAAACATACATAGAGAAAAGCTCTGAGGCAAACTCACCTGCACTAAGGACTTCTCGATCGTCATGAACATCTCCACGTTTCGGTCCATCCTCGACGGATTCTGGAAGTCAAACCTGCGCCTACCAGGAAATTAGACTGGAGTTACACATGAAACAGCAACATAGCCAAAATACAACTCGGATCACTAAGATAACACAATATAATATTTGAGTTTGTACGTTTAGCGAACATGTATATCAGCTAGAAAGAAAGTCCTACCATCCTTGGTCACTCTTGAACTTGTAGGCAGCAGCCAGGATGTGGCAGAGAGCCCCTCCTGACTTGAAGTCCAGGAAACACTTCATCTGCAGACACAAGACAAAACTGTTTCTAAATGCCCCAGTGGGGTAACGTAATGTGCATGCGTGCACATGACAGAGATAAAGGAGATGTACCGGCAGCTTGGTGAGCGGAGGGTTGCTGACATGTCGACCGAATACCTCCTCCTGGAACTGGAGCAGCTGGACCACCAGGCTGGACAAAGACTTGTTGGTGGGGGGTTCGGCTTGGATGTACTGAAAGGACAACCACACAGAGACGGTCAGAGACACATAAACATAAACAACAGTGTGTTGATTTAAGGGACTGTTTGTTATTTATGAGAGGGGAGGAGGTGGTGCGAAAAGGGGGAGGCATGTTAAATAATTTCTTTAGCACTGGGAAGGGACTTGTGTTTTTTATTTTGGCTTTAAAGAAGGGGCATACAAATTTTAATGGCTGTATTTTGTATTCATTTTACCGCAGATTTTTTAAAGAAAACATGCCCACCAAATGCTCCAACTACACCATTTATTGTAGCCAGAAACTGTAAAATCATAAATTATCTTTGGATTTTCAAATTTACATCATCCTTGAACACATTACGTGGGTCAAACAAAAAAATAATATTCAGATCTCGGGTTAAAATGGTGATATTTCATCAAAATCACGTTATCCATGTACACTTACAATTTGCTAAAAATAAACAGTTTGCATTGACTAACCAGCATGCATGACAAGAGCAAAAAAACACGGCTTGTTTTACCTACAGGATTTTGTATCTAAATTTCAACTTTCACACATCAAAGGGTACGTTTTTAAAATCTAACAACTGATTTGTGGTGGAGGCAGGGTCACCCATTTTCCCCAAGTCAGTCAGGGAGGCTTTAGGAAAAACTATCTGTAGCCTCAGGTTCAGGGAAGGTCAAAAACAGCAACAAAACGAAGTCACCACTCAGCCATCTCCCCCGTCCTCTGATAAGTACAGTAACAGTCCCTAAGTGCTGCGTGTGGTCACATATGTCTAAAAGTGGAGGGAGAATTGCTGTATGCTTTATAATTCAGAGTGAGTTAATCATTCAGCCTGGTAATATCTGATATGGAGGTTAAATGGTAAATATAGCTTATTAGTCTTCATTATTAGCGTGTTTTTTAAAGAATTAATGCAGTTTTTCGGGGTAATCAATGGGTCTACACAGCAGCACACGGCTCAGCATTATTCCAGACGGCCCAGGGCTTCAGTCAGCGCGGCGCGCCACAGAGCCAACATCTGGATCTGAGCTGCATTACCGTTAGCCGATTAGCTAACTAGCTAGCTAGCTGGCTGCCCGGCCGGCTAAAGTCACCCCTTTTACAAAAAATCCTCCCCGCAGGACTGATTGTGTGCTGCTTCTGCATCGGGTTAGCGACAATACCATCTGGGGACACCGCCATTCGCGGCTGCATGTGTTGCAGCTGTTGGCTCAGCATCCTTTTGTATCCCGGCTCGAGTGAATCAAACAGCTGGACGTTCAGCAGCACCCTCCCTCCTCTCTTTGTCACTGCCTCTGCCCAATAGGTAACTGCCCACGTTTCAGGGTGAAATATGTGAGCTTAGTGTGTATGGATACAAAGCATGCGGTCAGTACCTTTTTGTAATTCTTTCCCAGCCAGACGCGGACATTATCAAACTGAGAAACGGTATCAGACGCTTCGAAATATTTTACATTCGGGCCGCCGTCTTTCTTCCGCACCGCCATCTTTGACTGCAGACAACTAGTCGACGTCGCCTGCCGCCCGGCGGCCAGAGTCCAGTACTGCAACTGCTGTGTAGCTGTAATAACAGGCAGTGTACAGCAGGGAGAGCAGTCATACAGAGAACCATTAAATACTACATGATGTGTGTGTGAGAGAGAGAGAGGCAGCTGCATGCACTAGGGCTGGAGGAAGTGTTAAGTTATTTACTTAAAAACAAAACCAACCAAATTCTAAAAATACATGAATGAAACTCCTGCATTCAAAAACGTGTTAGCAACAAAATGTACTTAAAGTATCAAGAATAAAATGACTCATCATGTGTCATACTGGATCATCATTATTGGTGTATGAATATGTAAATAGATACTTAAAGGTTAAGGACAGGAGTCTGCAACTTTTACAATCAAAAGAGACATTTTTGATCAAAAATAACTGACAAAAATCTGTCTAGGGCCACAACAAATATTTGAGCCTGAAGGTAACACAGCTTGTTTACTCTAAATTAGCATATCAACATTACTAACAGGGCTAAATGAGCATTCATTAATATTTTTACCACAAGGTGGCTACTCTACTATGGTATTTATAATTATTTGGTTCTTTAACTTTGCAGAGTTGGTGGTGAAAACAAACAAATCTGTCCACGACTATTACATTTCCTGTTTTCCTCCGAGACTTTTACCTTTTTTATTTCTAATTCAGAGAAAAGGCGGGAAGCCGTAAACATACGGAACATTTTAGTTGTTGAAATGTTAAACTTTTAAAAAATAATAATAATAAAATAAATCAGTGTATAGGCTACACAGTTTTAAAATTTGAGAATGTAGGATTTTCTTAAGGCCTACAAATATTATAAGTGAAAATTAGAATGTTAAAATGTCCATAGAATTTTTAATCAAAGCCACAGGGAGCCACTGGAGAGGGGCTAAAGAGCCGCGCGTGGCTCTGGAGCCACAGGTTGCCTTCCCCTGGTCGAGAAGATGCACCTAAATCTCACTGCTTTATGCATAGGTGTACATTTTGGGTGGGGGGGTGCAAGGGACACATCCCCTTACTATTTAGAGTATGTGCATTTGTCCCCCCCACCCCCAATAAAAACATGAAGGTAGTAGAGGACTTTTATTTTGACAAAATGAAAGATGTTCGCACCATAGATTGATGCAGAAAATGCAAAATCAATACATAAAAATTCACCAGACTGCAGAAAATTAAGTGTTTCATGCTCAAAATTTCCTGACGGAGGGCCTCAAGCCAAATTAATCAAATTAATCCTACAACCTACAACTTCACGCACACTGATGTGTTTTACACTGAAAATATTATTTGGATAAATGTAGTGAAAATGTAAAAATTCAAGTAAAGTGCAAATGGAAAATCATTACAACACAGTAGGGACAGAGAAGGCCTGGAGAGGGTACATAGTGTTCGCGCTAAACAGGAAGGCACAAACTAAATAAATTTATTCAAATCAGCTAATAGCCCCAGCCTCTTCTTTTTCTTTTCTTTTCTTTTCTTTTCTTTTTTTTCTTTTCTTTTCTTTGGTAAACAGATCTTGACTTGTTTCTCACACTTTTAACAAATGGTTGACCTTGTATCAGTTGAGAGTGAGGGACTGAGTGACAGGTGCTATGTTCACTATTTATCTGCATGTGCACTAGCAGAGAACAAGGGGTGACATAGTCCAGTCAATGTAATGTCTTCATATCTTCTCACACATGGGTCAAGTTTAATCCTGGAAGATCCTGTCAGAGTCATGGTTGTAACAGGTAGGTCCACAGCAAACTGTATGTCCTGTTAACACAATGCAACTTAATCTTTAGGAGCCAAACAAACGCTTTGTGGGACCACACCAGTGAGAAAATCCTTATAATATAATGGTATATAGACAGAGATGTAAAGCAGAGCACACTTTATGGTCTAGTGAAGAACCAAATGTGTAGTGTTAACTGTCGAGCGTATTTTTTTGCATCCCCTTTATCAGTTTAATCTGCAAGGCCTGGGGAATTTAGCCAACATCAAATGATGACATGACTGTATGGGGAGAGCATTACACAGTACATCTCGGTCTGTCTCTTTGTGCTTCCTCACTGAGAATGATTTAGTGCCTGAATCATTGCCACTGCCTCAAATAGATTACAACATTGAAATCACCAAAATAGCACTAACTTGTAAAACGTGGGCAAAAAAAGTAAAAGAAAATGTAATTAGATTTTTAAACTGGTGATGAATGACCTCCAAACGACTCACTGACCTCCGGCAGCAGGACCTGAGTAACTGTGCTGATGAGGCACTTGAAAAAAGAAGGCAGGCAATGAAATAAGACCCATATCATCAAAATTCATTTAAAGGACCAGAGTGCACATACTAAAATGTGGTTTTAATAATCTATTTGATGATTATTCATGTGAATTCTACTATCAATCAACAAATAGATTTCGCAATTTCAACATTCAGTTATTCATGAATGTCCACTGTGTCTTGCTAATTATTTTCTCTTTATTTCGATTCATTCAGGAGAGTCATGGTGTGACAGCAGCATGGCAGTGAGAGGAGGTTTTAATCCCAATTTAACCTCTGGTGTCATTTGCTATATATTTCTGGCTAAATGAAACAAATGTTCATTCTGTAGCCCAGTGATAAATACAATGTGCAAGGAATACACTTTTTAATTGGACATTTTTAAAGGTTTCATGGTATAAAGAGCAGGGATGATAACACCAGTGTCAGTGTTCATGTTGCTGTTGAAGACAGCTGTTCTGAACCTGGGGAGTGGGAATCCTCCAAGGGGTCACAAGTTTAATCTTGGGGTCATGAAATGATTAACAGGGTGGGAAAGAATAAAAGGAAACCAGTCTGCCACACAAAATACATCTACAGTTTTTTCTCACTTGTGTCTGAAATATTTGATTGAAGATAGTTTCCTATTCAGGCCTCAAAAATACTCTAATGAAAGAATCACAAAAACTGCATTCAATTCACTGACATGTGCAACATGTTGCAGCTGCACACTGCTTCATTTTAAGGCATCATACTGGAAAAAATCAGGAAAAGTTGCGTGAACAACAAAATTCAATGATTAAGATGTTGTCTACTCTTTGTTATTATGTCAAATATTTTATAATTGTGTTGCTGGTATCATTTGATTTGGTTATGCAAAGCACTTATCTTAATATAAATGTAAGTAAAAATGTGTGTGTGTGTGTGTGTGTGTGTGTGTGTGTGTGTAGTACTTTAATGTCCAATTAAAGCAACAGAATAAGGAAATGACAGACCTAAGCCACTCATTCGTGCTCTGTCACAAATTTGCTATTATATGACTGCACCTTAACAAATTATAATCCTACAGCACATCCTGTAATATCACAGAAAAAATAAAATTTCCCATGTAGTGAATATATGTCAGGTTTATATGACAAAAACTTGTATGCATAGAAAAATACATTAATGCAAGCAGTCCCTAATTTGTGGGGAATCATATTCCATAAATTAGACTCGATATAATGTCATAGCACTACAGCAAGTTGTGTTATCCATAGCCCTGTAATGAGATGGTCCAGAAAAAAAGACTTTTGTATAACACTCATACAAAGTGGAAATTCAGCAGACATGAGAGTACAGAAATAACTGAGCAAAATATAAACCGTCAGACTGCTTTCATGTCTCTGACCTTTTTACTGGCTCTCTGTTAGTCAGAGGCTCAAATTAACCTTCATTAACAGAGAATAGGTGTGTGTGTGTGTGTGTGTGTGTGTGTGTGTGTGTGTGTGTGTGCGTGCGTGTCTAACATGACCCAGGCTAATTTGTGAAAGTCCAGAGACAACACTGAAGAGAGTAGTGCTCCTTGAACTAGTATTCCTCAGGCTGTCTGTGTGTTTGTATTTGCTCATGAGCGTGTGTGTGTGTATATCTGAGTAACGGGGTGTGTGTGTGTGTGTGTGTGTGTGTGTGTGGAGCACCCGTCTGTGCTGAAGGAGAGAGAGTGAAGCCTATTGATTATTTTAATCCTCCTATTTGTGAGTCTGTGATCCTCTCGGCTCAGCCTTCCGCTGGGGGATTGCTAATGGGGCTGAACGCTTCCCTCCTCAGCCCTCTCTCCCTGTCCAATTAACTTAACGCTGGAATCGGCGAGGAGGGAGCGCTGGGACTCAGAGGGTGGTGGTGGTGGTGGTGGGGGTGGAAACACTGCTGAGATACAACCCAACCAACAACCCCCGGTCCAACATCTCCCAAACCTCTAATTTGCACCACGTACAGCAAGAACTTCCTCATCCAGAATAGTATTACCTCTCACCTTTAATTAAAGATCCATCTGCTTGTTTTATTCTGGTGAGGTGAGACCTCCCCTCAGCCAGTGTTTCATTTTCACGAGGTGGCTCTGTGGAGGGTAGAAGCAGCAGCAGGTGAAAAGGTACATGTTATAATGGGAGCGCTGCCTTCAAACAAGCTGCTGCAGCTGTAGTTCTGTCATTTTTCTGAGTGTTTGTCCAATTAGTGTTTGTGTTTAACTTTCTCCTGAAGCTACAATTCAGCGAAACAAATCTTTAATGATGGACTCATTAACAAGGGAATTGCTTCATTTCACAAAACCTGCAACAGAGAGGTTGTGTCAGTGTCCACAAAGTCACATTGTCTTACTCTGTCTCCTTGAGATAGAGTTTGTATTTTACTAAACTGCTTTCTTAAATCACATTCGTATGGCAACCTTACCACTGCCTAGATTATGTGCAGAGACAATGTTTCTTTCATGTAAGGAAACATGTCATTCCTGTACCATGTAGACATTGAAAGTGGGGCAGATGTGGGGAAGATGGTGGGTGCAGAAAGTGCAGAACTTTGACACTGAGATGTGGGGTTTGCATCTAGACTGGCTGTAAATGCAGTTTAAGATTATATGGCACTACTTCTCTAAGGCGAACTTCATCAGATCTAAAACAGTAAGTGCAACCTGGATGAAGCCACCTCCTCCCAGACTGCTGAAAGGTATGATGTGATGTTATATCTGAGACCTCA